ATAGAAGAGAGCTATCTAAAAACATGTAGTGGATGGCGCCTGTGGCTCAGTGGGGAGGGCACCAGCCCCATATACCAAGGGTGGTGGGTTCAAACCTAACCCTGGCCAAACTGCAACAAAAAAATAAACAGGTGTTGTGGCGGGTGCCTGTAGTCCCAGCTATTTGGGAGGCTGAGGCAAAAGAATCGCTTAAGCCCAAGAGTCTGAGGTTGCTGTGAGCTGTGAGCACCCTACTCAGGGCGACAGCTTGAGATTCTATCTCAAAAAAGAAAAAAAAGAAGAAGATATGTAAAAACATACATGCATACATATACATACCAGCTTCAGGATAATGGTTTCCTCTGGGGAAAGGAAAGGAAAAGATGATGCTTTAGTAACACCGATGGTAGACACTATCATCCTATAATCATTAAAACAGGACATTGCTGGACAGGCCCTGAAAACCAGATGAGCCTGCGTGCTGACATCTGGAGATAGTTTATTTAGTCCCAAGGCCTGTTGTCATAAATAAGTTTGGAGACTGGGCTCCATGATACCAGTCAAGGACCCAGAGCCTTCTGTGCCTTCAGTGGTGACTAACTATAAATTTATAAGTAGAAACACTTTGAAAACAAAAGATATTTTCACCTTGTGTTCCATAAGGGGGTATCTGTTTAATGTATGCTATGCTGATTAATAACATTGCTGATGTATGCTTTTGCCGGGAGGGTATAAAAATAACAAAGAGGAACAAAGCAGAATAGCTCTGCGAGGTGATATCCTCATTATTCTCTGGAACTGCTGGCCTTTGTGTAGATGAACGGGGAATTGTTAACCTCTCATCCACTTCTCTGTCAAATGGCTTAGGTGACAGGCAGACCGACTCCTTGGTCCCACAACAATACCTATTTTAAAAAAGAGAGGAGGCCAGCATGGTAGCTCACACCTGTAATTCTGGCACTTTGGGAGGCTGAGGCAAAAGGATCACTTGAGGCCAGGAGTTGGGAGACCATCCTGGGCTACACAGCAAGACCCCATCTCTT